TTAATCAATCACGTCACGCCACGTGTCACAATCTGTTTACAATCTTTGAGGATAGATTCATGAACATGCGAGGCATGATTAGGTGTAGAGTGTAGAGGGGTGCTGTTCATGAAAACTTTTGGACTAACGTGCGCAACTCTGAATTTAGGACAATCTTTGACAATATTCCAACATTCTCATCGGTTGAATGATTTGTTTTTGCTTTTGGCATTATACCAAGCTTGTACTTGAAATGCGGAATAAGAAATAATTATTAAATCAAAGTAGGTAATGCAAATTTGGGTATAGTACAAACAAATAAATAATATATTGTTACCTGATCCGCTAAACTTTCCCTACTTCGAAGATTAGTACTAGCTTGTGCCAAGGTGTCTCTCCACATACTAAACGATTGGCTGAGTATTCTCCAACGATTGGACATCGATTCTTTAGTTCTTTTCCCACCAATTTTCTCAAGATAATTGGCATGAATAAGACTCCACATTTCTCGCAACTTCATCATATTACCCGTAATCGGATCATGAGTAACTTCAACCCAACTAGTACACAATGTAACATCTTCAAAAAGCGACCAATTCGTACCTGCATCATTAGTCATTTTGTTGGAAAAAAAAATTGGATTGAAACTTTGAGAGAAAGATAAGAATGTCGTTGAAACTAGTTGACAAAATATGAAATTGTGGTGTAAGGTAGAACATAATGAGAAGGTATTTATAGAAAAGTAAAATCAATTTTTTTTCTTCAAATTTTTATTAATTTTTTACATTTTTTATTTTTTTTATTCACATAATTAATCTCCGCCATTAGATTTAAAAAAAATTTGAATTCCAACACTTCAGATTAGTAAGATTTCATAATTTCAAACTTTTTAAAAAAAAATTTATAAAGCCGAACAACGTAGACCATTGATCTAAGATCCAACGACTGAAATTAATGACAGTTTGAATTTCTTTTTACCGTTGGAAATCCAACGGTCCACATAAAGTAACCGTTGAAATCCAATAGACGAGGAACTACCACGTGGCCTCCAACGGTAACATTGCCCAAGTATGCGCCACGGGCCCCAGTGTCTGAAACTGGTCGGGGACGCGCCCCCACGCGCGCTTGTAATGCACACGCCTAACTAAAAAAATATTAAAACTGGGCTGACGTCGCCCTGATGCTAGCATTGAATCATACCCACCTCGGGTTCTTAGGCCAACGATTCTCGCCGGGCCTCTTGCTCAAGTTCGCTCCTGCGCAATTGCCCGGATGGGCTATACGTGGTTGCTCGAGTTACTGCCCTTTGTTTTGGGGCTTGTCGTTGGGGCTACTCCACATGGTGGAGTTGCTCTTAGGGTAAAAACCTGGCGTCGGTTAAAAATGCCAGTAATACCGACATCATATATTATTTCCATCATCCGACACCACTTCTGCCCAATTCTGCGAGCAAAACTAGCAGGAAAATTCCTGCCCAAATATTTGATACCCTATCTAACACAAGTGGCCAATTACGTCAGATAAAACCAACATTACCCTATCCGACCAAGTTTGAAAATATTGAAAAAAGAAAAAACAAATACAGTCGAATAATAATGTCTTAGTGTCGGTTATATTCAACATTTACATTTTATGTTGGTTATAAGCGACAGTACTGTTGTGTCATCCGACATTATTTAAACAGGTTGTCAGAAATGTCTTATCCGACAATATATTGTAAAAAACTGCCACCAGTCTCCGAAACATTAAGCCACTTTCGTAGTAGTGCGAGACTATATTCAACAAATAAATTACATCATGAGCTTGGTTGATATAAATATTGATGATAGTAATACGTATCACAAGTGGTTACTTGAGGGAGTGATAGAAATTGTTGCTTTTCACATGTATATGCAACAAAAATTAGAGAAATTGTAACATTTTACATGATGTTTTAGGAGTCACTGCTGAACAGTGACCTAAGAGTGAACTAAACAAATATTAACAAATGTCATAGATATCACAAGTGATTGTTTGGATGTAGTGGTACAAGTTATTGTTTTTCATTTGGAAGTCATGAAATCATTTTTGAGGTCACCGAAAAGATTGACCGGCCGGTCACCTTAGTGCTTGTCGGCTGGTTGTCAGAATATTCATCAGCCGGTCGTCAGAAAAGTTGATAAGGTTGAGTGACAAACATGTAATTAAATTGAAATATAATAGTATTTATAAAAAATTTAGGTAAACTTTTTTATTAGTAAATAAATTAAAAATATGATAATGGTAATTAATCTGAAAAGCCCTTTGGTTCTTTGTCTTGAAACCTTACAAAGATTATCTAACAAAATACAGCAATATCACGTGACGATGCTCAAACCAGGTGCATGCATTGAAGGTCAAAAGAAATATTTAAATGCATAAGCTGTTTTGGTGTAATTTTGATATTTTATTCATGATAGTTTTTACCGTACAAAATAATCATTTTACACTTTTTATAAAAAGAAAACTAATGAAAAGGGCTTGAAAACTTTGAGTTCTAATGATAAGGACAAAATAAAGAGTAAAGTGAATAGTACTAGGATTGACTTTTTAGTGTAAAAATGTGGTTTTTCGTTAAAGTGAACAGTACCGGGTGTGCATGTTTTTTCTAAATATAAAATGTTTAAAGTTTAAATTTCAAAATATACTTTTTAGGGTAACGTTATTGTAGACCTTAAAAACTACCAAACCTACGTGGCGTGCAGGCCGAGTAATCTATAAGCTAACTACATCCTTCGGTTGAATGCGGGACGTGCCAACTCGTCGGCCGAGCTCGGCCGAGAAGTAAAATTTGTTGATGTTGCGTTGGGTGCGCGGCTGACTTTTGCGTCTCGCGATTATGACCGAGGAAGGAACACGTCTCGGCCTCTTGGGTTCTCGAACATGAAGATAAGGCTACTATTCTTACGAAGTTCACAAATCGTCACCGTCGGATTCGGTCACAGTGATGGTATTCGTCATAGTACACTTACGCCAAATCGACACCAAAGTGTAAGGGCACAAATACTCAAAGCGGATATATGTCTTAACAATAAACGTGATTCGGCCGTCGGAATGCCAAACTCTAAATCCCACTTGAGAGTATCAAATCATAAACTAACTCGGCATGCAATGTGCCGAGCCTAATAAACTGTAACACCTCACTTCGTCGAGAATGCTAATGAGATGACCTCGACCAATAAGGATTCGGAAATCCTTATCGACCGAGACTTGGATAGATAACCAGTCACCCTCGACGCAGTGCTATCTATGCTGACTGAAGATGCTGCGAGACTGGCTGGTTCTACGGTGACAGTGCTATCTATGCCGACTGAAGATATCACTGGTTGCTTTCACAGTGCTATTTATCCAAATTGAAGGTGTGTTGGCGAAAAAAGAAAAGGAAAAAGTCTCAAGGTTGTTGAGAGAATTTATGCAGGGCAATTGTGTGTTGAATTGAAGAGGGCATGAACGATGCACAAATTCTCCTATGTATAGCACCAGGCACTTTCTAGACCGAGTTAAAACCCTACTCGGATTAGGATTTCTTCTTCTCATCAAACACCATCTCGACCAATCCTATTTTCACTATGACTTTGAACCTAGTCCTTTATCAAATCGGATCCACTTCTATCCATATCTTGCCGAGACTCCTTATTGTGCCAGGATTCAATTACTCGTCTCACAGCATGACTTGACCAACCTAGGTTAGGAAGCCCATGAACTAAATGATCCACGGTAATCTTTCCGTAAGGCCTTCCGGGCCGAGAATCCATCTCGGCCAAACCAATATTTTGGGCTTAAACAATTATATAAACCATTTATTTAAATCATATTTTATAAATCATATGACATGAACGTTGATAATTAAATTATTACTTAAAAAAAAATGATATTATCTAAATTAAAGGGGCGGAGAAGTGGGATAAGCCTCATAATGAGCTAACAATAATGTAATTCAAATTTGTCTTTGCAAGAATCGAACTTAAGACATTTCACTAATAAGTGAAGAGGAATACCACTAGACCGGTAGTACTAAGTGACATAATTGAATTATTACTTTAATGTTGACTAACATGTTTATTTCCGACATATCACATGATTTGTAAATTTAGCTTCCCTCACATTACTCTATTTTTAAAATGCTAATACACCTCTCATTAAGAATGGTTAAATTATTGATTATGTTTCACACGAATAAACATTGATACTTTCTATTTCATCAGTTTTACCCGTGAAAGTGCAGTTTTTATTCTTAATGCAAAATTATATTTTAACAGAAGCTTAAGCCGTGTGGTGTCGTAATCTTTTCATGAGCTATGCAGTTTCGTGAAAAACGATCTATGTTAACCCCGAGAATTGTAGAAGTGCAGTAACTTATAATTGTTACTACAATGAGTACGTATGATAGGAGAAATAGGTTGGCCTACGGGCTGGTGGTCCTGTATATATCGGCGGTGACATGGATTGATCAGTCATGGACCCAAACTCGTTTGGAAAAGCAGTTAACCACGTTGCCTTTGCTCACCAATTCAACCTCCCCTCGCTTTCCCTTCCTCTTCATCTTCATATGCTAACTGACACAAAATATTATGACATAGAGTCCTACGTGGGGAAAAATCTTAAGGTTACACCACTTGACGAGAGGGCTGATACGATCAAAACTTTTTTTTTCATGTAAATTTTCATCGATAAGCTTATCTATATGAATTTTGATAATATCAACTTTATAAGTATATCGATGATCAATAACATATTGGATGGTAGAACATGCTGCATGATCACGTCCTGATCAGATGGTTGGTTTGACGATCCAATAAGATGGTGTCATGTCGTTTGTCACTTGTTACTTGAACTTTCATTGGCAAACATATCGAGATAATATATACAATTACATATATAAACACGTCAATAATTGATAAAATGTTGAACGGTCAGACATGTCACGTAATAAGAAGAGTTGCTAAAATGTTTCACCTCCATATATAGCGAGCTATAGCTGATCCCTTCCCTCTATACTCAATTATTTACTAGAATATCCCATATATATATGTGTGTGTATTATTGAGTCACTCTCACTGTCATCACTAGCTCTCCCAAACACTCTCTTCCTCTCTCCCATGGTTGCCTTCTCCTCCTTATCATCAACATGTCCTCCTCCCATTTCTCCCTCCCAAGGTTACTACCAATTCCCAATATTAATTACGTACTCCTTCCTGAATTAATTAATTAAATTATGTATAATTGCTTACGTGTGCATGGGTGTGCTGACATGCAACAGGTGGACCCGAGTTCTCCGGCGCCAGAACTCCCAGATCGACGACGCCGACAACAACCACAACTCCAACAACATCGAAGACATCATCAACGCCCCAATTATCAGCAACTCTGTCGAATGTTACGCCTGCACTCAGGTGGGGGTCCCAGCCTTCCATTCCACCAGCTGCGACGGCGCCCACCAGCCCCAGTGGGAGGCCTCCGCCGGCTCTTCCCTGATTCCCATCCAATCCCGCTCCGATCTCAAAAAAGGAATCTCCCGCCACCGCCCAGCCGGCCCCTTCGGCCCCGTCCTCGACCCCCGCAGCAAGCGCGTCCAGCGCTGGAACCGCGCGTTCCTCCTCGCACGTGGGATGGCGCTGGCCGTCGACCCGCTCTTCTTCTACGCCCTCTCTTTCGGAAGAAGCGGAACCCCTTGCCTCTACATGGACGGAGGGCTGGCAGCAATTGTCACCGTGCTCCGCACGAGCGTGGACGCCGTGCACCTGTGCCACCTGTGGTTGCAGTTCCGGCTGGCGTACGTATCGAGGGAGTCGCTGGTGGTCGGCTGCGGAAAGCTCGTGTGGGACCCACGTGCGATCTCCTACCACTACCTTCGATCTCTCAAAGGTTTCTGGTTCGACGCCTTCGTCATTCTCCCCGTTCCTCAGGTGAGTCCACAGGCTGGAGAAATTTTTCATCGAGATCGAAATACGAGTGGTACACCAATTGTGGAAAAGTTTAATTTTTGAATTATTAACTTTTTAGCACACATATCTCATCATTTGTTTAGTGACACATGATGAGATAAGTGTGCTAAAAAGTTAATAACTTAAAAAATTCTCGGGGAAAAAAAAAAAAATAAATAAAATTTTCCACCATTCATATTAAAACACATGATGCATTACTTGTATTCCCGTCACAACTAAAAATTTCTCCACTGGCTGGCTTTGATAGTCTTCAATCATCTCTTTTGTTTAATTACATAATTACCCATGAGTTCCTACCCCTGCCAATGTCTCCACATGAAAAAACTTGAGTAGGACGTGCTCTCATCTTACATCAAAGTTTTTCCCGCTTCAGATTCATATAATTATCCGAATTTTAAGAAACCAGCCTTTTTTTTAATCTTTCTAGTGTAACGGTCAAAGTAATATATGATAACGGGATATTTCAGTAAGTAATGCTAACATTCCTCGACATAAGCAATAAGTTATATAATAATTTAAGAACAATACATGACTACTCAAAGATGAGTAGAAATTTATACTCAAAATTCTTTGTATTTTAATCACAAAACTTTGTACTTATGATTAGAATCGTTTATACTATAAGGAGACTAACTTTTTAAATTAAATTTTATAAGCCATATGATATGGTCATTTGATGATTAAATTATTATTTAAGTGTTAATGAACGTACTCATATTAGTAACACACACTATAATTTTCAAATTTAATCTAAAAATTTAATCTACTTAACATTCCTCGACATAAGCAATAAGTTATATAATAATTTAAGAACAATACATGACTACTCAAAGATGAGTAGAAATTTATACTCAAAATTCTTTGTATTTTAATCACAGAGCTTTGTACTTATGATCAGAATCGTTTATACTATAAATCACATTGTAAAGATCATCTCTGCAAAAATTAAATTAAAACTAAGGTCGTTTAGTCAATCTATTGTAGCAAATACACAGACGGTTCGTAATGCTTTTACCAATACTGTTCATTTGGTTTTAAACAGTTTGATGACTAAACAACCATAATTTTAATTTATTTTTTACAGATACAATCTTTATAAGGTGATTTATAATATGAATGGTTCTGATTATAAACCCGAAGTTTTATAAATGGACAACGAACAATTTTGAGAAGTTTTGAATAGGAATTCCTACTCATCTTAGCCAAGTATTGTTCATAATTTAATTAGCCCCTAATAAAATCTGTTTGTGAGAAACTACAACTTTTGGGACCAAATTGCAGCTTTTTGGCTGAGAAAACAGTCTTCTGCCTCTTTTGTTTTTGCAGGCAGTATTTTGGCTGGTTCTTCCAAAATTGATCAAAGAAGAGAAGGTTAAGGTGATAATGACCATTCTCCTTTTAATTTTTTTGTTCCAATTCCTCCCAAAAGTCTACCACAGCATCTCCTTGATGAGAAGAATGCAAAAGGTCACAGGCTACATATTTGGCACCATTTGGTGGGGTTTTGGCCTCAACCTCATTGCCTACTTCATTGCTTCTCACGTACGTAAGATCATCAAATTACGCGCTTTAAAATTCAAAATCTGTATTAGGTATAGTTCTTGATGCTTAATTAATTTTTTTTTCGTGGTTTTAGGTTGCCGGGGGATGCTGGTATGTGCTCGCGATTCAGCGCGTAGCTTCGTGCCTAAGACAGCATTGTGACCAAAATGTCAATTGTAATCTCTCTCTGTCTTGCTCGGACGAAGTTTGCTACGAGTTTTTGTTACCGGCCGCCACGATTGGCAACCCTTGTGGAGGGAACACGACAACAAGCGTGATGAGAAAGCCACCACTCTGCTTGGATGTAAATGGCACATTCAACTATGGAATCTATCAGTGGGCTCTTCCTGTCATATCTAGCAACTCCCTTGCTATTAAGATTCTCTATCCCATATTCTGGGGCCTAATGACTCTCGGGTACCTTGTTAAGCAAGTAATCTTCACGATTAACTAGTAAAAATGAGAATAATAGACAATTTATAAAATTAATTGTATGCTCTATTGCAGCACATTTGGGAATGATCTTGAACCTACAAGTCACTGGTTAGAAGTGATTTTCAGCATATGCATTGTGCTTAGTGGGTTGCTGCTCTTCACTTTGTTGATTGGAAACATTCAGGTGACTTTTTCACATACATAAGAATGTACATTTTGCTTTTGGGTTTCTGAGTTTTTTTTCTTTCTTTTTTCGGCCAAGTGATCTGACTATGAGTAGACTTGAGCGTAGCCAAATTAAATAGGGCAGTGTGCCCTCGTAGTTTAAATTTGATTAGAATATCTGCTTGAATAAAAATGGAAACAATCGATCTGACTATGCGTACCTTACAATACTTGATGCAGGTATTTCTCCACGCCGTTATGGCAAAGAAAAGGAAGATGCAGTTGAGGTGCAGAGACATGGAATGGTGGATGAAGCGGAGGCAGTTGCCGTCTGGATTGAGACGACGAGTACGCCATTACGAAAGGCATAGATGGGTGACAATGGGGGGAGAAGATGAGATGGATTTGATCAAAGACTTGCCGGAAGGGCTCCGAAGGGAGATTAAGCGCCATTTATGCTTAGACCTCATAAAAAAGGTTCCCCTGTTCCACAACTTGGATGATCTTATTCTTGACAATATGTGTGATAGGGTTAGGCCACTGGTCTTCTCCAAAGATGAAAAGGTAACAAATTGATCATCTGCAAAGTGATTTAATTACTCTATGATCACATGATTTACATCGCAATTAATTTAAGCAGATAATTAGAGAAGGAGATCCTGTGCCGAAGATGCTATTTATCGTACGAGGGCGCATTAAGCGCACCCAAGGCCTAAGCAAAGGCATGGTGGGAACCAATGTGCTTGAACCGGGAGGGTTTTTTGGCGATGAGCTGCTCTCCTGGTGCCTTCGCCGGCCATTCATGGACCGCCTTCCAGCCTCATCCGCGACATTCACCTGCATTGAATCAACAGAAGCATTTGGCCTCAATGCAGGCGATCTGAGATACATGACGGATCACTTCCGCTACAAATTTGCCAACGAAAGGCTTAAGCGAACGGCGAGATACTACTCTTCAAATTGGAGAACATGGGCAGCGGTGAATATACAATTCGCTTGGCGCCGGTACAGGTTGAGGACTAATGGAGGTCCCGTGATTCCTGTGATTCCAAATGGAAGCTCTGAGAGGAAGCTGTTGCAGTATGCTGCAATGTTCTTGTCGCTTAGGCCACATGATCACCTTGAGTAATAGCACTCTATTACTGCTCAATAAAATCTTGTTTGTGTGGTCTTCAGATCATGTTCTAATCCACTTTCCCTAATTAACACATCAATCAAAGAAATGGTCTGAAAATGTAGGTAAATGTGGCATTAGTGTATGTAGAAACATTGTTCTATGCTAATATCATCTTCATTACTATTACTTTCAAGAGAATTAAGATATTCTTAACTATTTCAATTTATGAGGAGAGATTTTGAACTCGAGTGTAAGTGGGTAGACACACTATCATGGATAACTGACCTAACACACGACAATATTAGCTCTACAAATAAAGGGCATTGTCTAAATCACACATTAATCTCATCTAATTAAATATTAAATCTTCATTAAGGCTAATTGGTATGGACAATCATATCTATAGTCGAATTATGTATAAAAGAATACCCACGATATTTCTACATGTTAAAAAAGCATTTTTATGTTTTATTTTTCTCTTTTAAAAAGATGACCAGCTAGTTGCTTCATCACAACAATCCATTCTTTCGGGAATCGGGAAAACTCATAGAGATATTTCAGCATCCTCTTGCCACATCTGTGATTCACCAGCGTCAAGAATTGAACCTAGGATGTGCAGTATGAAATTCTTCCCTACTACTAAGCCATCCCGTGATGGTTGGGTTTCTATGTGAATTACCTCAATTCTTCAGATCTTTACACATCCTCTTACATATGACACAACGAATTTTTTTTAAATCAAATGCGATGAAAATTTAAATGAGTGACTTGAAGCACAGTACCCGTTGGTCTTCATAGGTAGGAAGGAACCATCCACTTATCTACAATACTGGATCTTGTGATTACAACTAAGCGACACCGCCATCGTCTTTTTTCTGCTCCGTTCAGGCTTCACTAGTGTCGCTTGATATTTGTACGGCGTGATGTCATTTACCTCAGCGATAAGTAAACCATTGCATCTTGCATGTCGTTTACTAGACAATAGACGTTGTCATGTCGCCGGAGGCGAAGACAGAGAATAGCATAACAGCTTACATATCGCATCACGTATGTTGCTTAGCTGTTTTGGAGGTCGAGGAAAAAGACGACACATGCAACTTCCCCCTTTCTTCTCTAGAAAACAACACAATTTACTATTGATTTTATTTTCGATTTATGGTCAAATTATCCAACCAAAAAGAAAAGACTTTACAGTGAAATTGCTTATTTCTAATGAATTTTATGGTTGTTTTATTGCAGTGGCAGAAAGTAATGACGCCTATGCATCATGGTGTAGGTTCGGATTCTCATCATCCTCCTTCGTTGCAACAGTTTACTTTAGAGGTTCTTCTGAATTTGTTTGCCACTTTGAATAATTTAATGGGTAAATTACACTTTACTACCCTAATTTAATTTACCAATATATTTTTCATCTTCCAATTTTTATTGTTTTATTTGCTGCCGACCCATAAATAGATGAGTTTCCCTAATAACTAAAGAGTTTATGGTGTGCTTAATGTGGCTTTTCTAGACAAATATTGATGAATGAATTAATATACCTATATTGCGAGTCGATGCAAATTTGCAAGTTTTAGAGAACTTTAATGAAAAGTTCCCGGTACTGTTTACTTTAACGAAAAACCATATTTTTACATTAAAAAGTCAATCATGGTACTATTCACTCTACCCTTTATTTTGTTCTTATCGTTAAAACTCAAAGTTTTCAAGCCCTTTTCATTATTTCTCCTCTATAACAATTGCTATAACATCTAGTAGGGCAAACCCATCCTTGATTCCAACTACACAACTAAGTATTTTCAAATGTACTAAGTTTGTGTACATTTGAAGATGCTTGGTCTTATATTTAAAGCTAGATTATTCAAATTGAAAATCTTTTAATTGCAGTCACATACAAAAATTTCTCTGTTTCCCCTAAGACACAAGATTGTGTTGGATCTCTATTGAACTGTATATCACAACTTATTTGAATAGTGATATCAGATTTGCATGTGTTCTCACAATTGTTTTTTTCCAGGGTTTTTATCACGATCGGTCATGTAATATTTTATTAGGGTTGATTAGCTCAGCCAATCCCAACGGTCATAATTAAAAAAGCTTTCTTCTGTCCCAAGGCAGATAAATACCCTAAGTTCTCGCCCAATTTTGCTTCCCTATTTTTGATTTTTTGCCGCAACAATTTTGGTCCAAATTTGGGGTTGAGATTGTTGTGCCCTCCAAATTTGGCTTAAGCTTCCCAATTCCGATCAGCTTTCTCTTTTCTTCTCTCTCAACCAACGAAAAATGGAGGTCACATTCGTCATGACCTCCCGGCCACCCTAACCTCCCACATATTTTTTTCCTTTTTCCAAAGCTCATTCTAGGGTTCTTCCCCAAACCTTTTCAATTTGGGGTTTTTTTACTTTTTTTGCCCTAGAATTTGCTTCAACACATCAAGTTCCTTTCACCCAATTCATCATAAACTTCATGTTCAGCTCTGCAGGTACATTTTCTTTCTCAGAAATGCTATATGCACGATATTTTTATATCACATTGCTGATAAGGGAGGTTGTCCCCATGACTGACATGTATAAGAGAAGTGAATAAATGTGACGCGAATAACGTGTGTGTGTTTAAGCATGAATGTAATTTTTCAGATATTTATGATTGTTAATTTTGTTTAGTAGTTGTTGATGAATGGTGTTTTCTTAGGTTAGGTACCATAACATTCACATTTATATCAGCCAAAAGATGGGGTTGAAGTTTTCAAGGCAAGTGCCGGCTGGGAAGTTTGAAAGCTTGACCATACAACACAAAGTGATCAATTGTCTGAGTAAAAGTCTTTACATCCGTAACTTGGTGTCGAAGCAACGGAGGCGAATGCTTGTTGCTGGTTATGATCTCGACATGACTTACATTACGGATCGCATTTTGGCAATGTCATTCCCTTCAGAACGAATGCGGGCAATGTATCGTAATCCTCTTTGGCAGGTCAAGTCTGTGCTTGATATGAGACATCAAGATCATTACAAGGTACTGCAGCTCCTTAATCCAATTAGTTCCTTCTTAAATTATTCCTCTAATTTTGATTCCTTTTTATATATACATTCTTTTTGTTAATAGGGTAGTATTTTTTCAGATCTATAACCTTTGCATCGAAGAAAGTTATGACCCGTCTCATTTTCATGGTCGTGTGGAGAGGTTTCCTTTTGATGACAATCATGTTCCACATCTAGAAATGATCAAGCTCTTCTGTGAAAATGTTGATTCATGGCTATCACAGGATCCGAAAAACATTGCCGTTATACACTGCATGGTAGGTAGGCATAAATAGCAAGCTATTTCTTAAGCAAACATTGTTGTTTGCTTAATTATCTGAATCCAAATATAAAACATTGATTAAGCTAAATTTACACCGTTGAGGATGCATTATAACGTTTGTGTTTTTTGATCGCTGCTGTTTTGATGCAGGCAGGCAAAGGTAGAACGGGTTTAATGGTATGTGCTTACCTAGTCTACTGTGGGATGCCAGCAGAGGAAGCTCTTCTGTTGTATGCTCAAAGGCGGACCATCAATAATGAAGGAGTAAGTCATATTACGTCTAATACAAACGATTCCAAAAGAATGTTAGTATATCATAATCTGTATGAACAAAAAATTGAGCTTATGTATTGCTTTCAATTTCCAATCAAGTCAATTGAAAACTCTTCTAAGAAGGGCATAAAACAGCTTACACTAACAAACACGTTGTCATTGGTATCTGATCGAAACAGGTCTCAATACCAAGTCAACGCCGTTATGTAGGATACTGGTCGAACTGTCTCTCTTTACCTCACGGAGTTGAAGATGCACCACCTGATGTGAACTTGCCTCAGCAATGTAGCAGAGAATTGAGGAGAATCCGATTTTATGACACGGTTAACATCGAGAAAATCTTTTTTGTGGTGTCGGAGCTGCAAGAGGTTTGCCTTTTTTGTACATTCTGATAATCTAGAACATTGATCAATTACCATATCCTTATAAGTCAACTAATAAGAATTCTTGAACCTTGTGTTAACAGATTTCCGGCCAGGTTTATCGTCTGTCACTTGAAGTTTCTAGGAGTTCCTGCAAACAAATCCAGAAAGGATGTCAGAGGACGAGTAGTCCACGATACTATCTCTCATTCGTCGAAGGCGATGAGGAAGATAAGAAATCAGAATCGGATGAGCCTCATGTTGTAGTCCAAATGGATACAGAAAGCTCGGCACTTTACCAGAAGGCCTGTCTTGAATATTACTTCGATAAGCCTGTGCAGGTAACTGGAGATGTGCGAGTCATTTTCTATCAAAAAATGTATGGAAGTCGCCTCTTCTATGCTTGCTTCAACACGGCTTTCATCAGGAACAGCTTGCTACAGGTCTTGACCTACTTTCTCTTTCCAGCACTTTATCAACGGTCCACTGAAAATGCTTCTATACAAAGCACTTATGGGCACGATGAAAATTTTAGGCCTTGTTTGGGATTACTTCTAGAGAGGTCAAAAGCATTTCCAAACAACCAGAAGGGCATTTAGTGATGTATGGCAGACAAAGTTTAGGAGTGCTTACGGGTTACGGAAGCATATGTAGTGCTTCCTGGGAGAAACATTGCTCAACTATTTCTTGAAAAAGTGCTATCAAATGTATTTTCAGGAAGTATTTGAATTTTTCTTAAAAATTTTGCTGAAAGTGATTATGGGTCAATTTTGCGTTATTGAGCATTAATGCTTCCAAGCGCTTTCACAACCCATAAACACCCAACCTTTTTCTGCTAAACATCGTCAGGAATATAATTATAGCCATTCTAACAGCACTTCCAAACAGGCTCTCCCACAGTTAAAAATTTGATTCATGTTGATGTGTTGGTGTTTTGAATGGTTGCAGCTCACTGTTCGGGATTTGGATAAAGTTGGAAAAAAAGGAAGATCGGTATGCGGCCCTGCCTTCTGCTTAGAGCTACTATTTGGTCCTGTCAATGCAAGACCCTCATTCACAACTCCATTGGATCATCATGAATTGCTGTAAAGTCTTAACCTGGAATTGTTCAAGGAGATTAAACGGGCGGTTTATGACTCCTATTGATCAAATGAATTTTGCCTCTGTAATTTTGTCGACACAAATTGCTCGACATGATAAACCCTGCAGTTTTGCAACTATAACAGTATATGTATACAAAATCACGTTCCTCCTGCATCCTTGCCATCTGATTTTTCACCGGCAGAAAGC